TGGGGAATAGGAAATGTAGGGACTGAAGGTGCTAGTGAAAGGGCACACAGCTTGTTTGTGGGTCACAAAAGTCTTTTAAAATTGACCGTAGTGGGGCTAGCATGGGGATGTAACAGGCTAATTCTCTGCATCACATCCCACAGGGACCACGGTTCGTATCCCAGCTGCTCCACTACCCATCCAGCTCCCTGCTTATGATCCGGGAAAGGTTCAGCTCTAGCCATTGTGGCTATCTGGGAAGTCATCTAGCAGCTAGGAAATCTCACTCTGTAAAAATCTGCCTTTCAAACAAAAATAAATAAATTTTAAAAATAAAATTGACTAGGGTATGAGTGTACGTATCAGAGAAGATAGTAAAAACAACAGTGAATCTTATACTTTAAATATGTACATTATAGGATATGTAAATTTCCTCTAAATTACTGCTGTTCTTAAAAGCTTAGTTCTGGAGTTACCTCCAGGAAATTTCTCTAGACTCATGAATGAGGAAAATTCCACTTCAAACAGTACCAAAAAAGGAAACATCCATTCCCTCACAACTGATTCAGCAACGAACACCTGTGCACCCCTTTGAGAGGCAAGGTACCGTTCAGTGGTGGGCAGTGAGGATGTAAGGTGTATCACAGTGGATGTGGTGAGTCCTTGCACTGTACCTCTGGTTCTCTGGATCCCCAAACCCTGCTAACTCTACCACTTTCTCCATTTCTTCCTTCCCTGGGCTTGAGAACATGAAAGGGCTTTCACACCCGCTTTCTGTGTTCAACTTTGTACAAAGTCTAAGAATTAACACCCTCACGGCCTTTCCATTGGATTCCATGGCAAACCTGAATGGTGTGCTTTTTCTTACAGAAAGCAGATTTGGCGTGGGAAATTCAACTATGAAAGGCTCCATACTGGGCCTGGTATGCTAATCCTCCCTAATCCAAACCGGAGCAGAGTCACATCCAATCATTATGTCCAAGGCACGTACAAGTGGAAGAAGACCAGGTACGGCTCCAGGACAGGTGAGCCTGTGACCTCCCAGGGGCCCAAGCACACACATCCACAGGATGTTGCCAATAAGCTTTCACCCAGCAGCAGGAAGAGCAAGTTCACAAACAGCATCATCACACACGTTGCCCCTTTCAACCCACAGGGAGCACCATCTTCACCGATGCTGAAAGCGAACGCTCAGAGGCTAAGAGGTGTCCAAGTTAACCAGTGACAGAGCTGAAATGCAAAGCCAGGTCTCCTGACCTGAAGCCTGCCGTTCTTCGCCCTGTGTTGCCTGTAAATGCAAATTCCTTCCCAGACAATCCCCACAGGTATCCATAAGCATCTGCTTCACCTGACTTAGTTCTCTTTCCAGTATACCTTCCATTTTCAAGGGCTTAAAAAATTGTCTTTGTTTTAGACAATGCACATAGCTCCCAACAGAACAACAGTTGAGAATAGAGATTTCAGTCAAAAACAATTGGGTTTGAACTCTGTGTATGCAATCCTTTTTCTGTCCACACAATCTGTATCCATAGCCATGGGCTGTACAGCTCCAAAAAAGACTTAGGAAAAAAAAATTACACCTGAACTGAATGTGCACAGACATTTTCCCTGGATCCACAGGGAGCACCACATCCAGCCTGAAAACAGAAAAGAAAAACCCCGGGATGTGGATCTGAGCCTTCCGGGACAAGGAGCACAGTGTGAGGATTTGCTGCGAGTTTGGAATCCTCGAAAAGCGTAGTTTTTAAGGGTCTGATTTCCAGTTTTACATTAATGGATTAAGGAGAGGACTCAACTGAAGGGTAAGATCTGAAGTTGGGAATCCTGGAAAGCGATCGGGTTGTGAATCATGGTAGGCCACACGGAGGACCCAGCCTGCCCCAGTCTCCACTTCCCAGCTCGCCATGTGATCCTCCTTCCACACACACAGTGCCATTGCCAGCCCATATCCTCACCGGCCCAACGGGGACCTCCAGTCTCCAACTGTAAATCTCCCAAACTATAAGTCTTCCCGAGTAACCTCTCCTAAGGAGAAAGACCATGAGAAGCTGCCACACACACACATACCGTGGAAGGCTCAGACTGTCCCTCTTGCGCCTAACCCTTCCCTGGGTCTCCAAATCCCCTCAGAGACATGTGGCAGCCTGTATCTTTCACCGTCCCCCACGTTTTTCCTCTTGATTGGTCTTACGCACCTGACCTCACAGTCTTCCTAACTTATACCACCTAGCTGTATTGTTGTGGTTTGAGCCTCTTTCTGCATCTACTTCTCCCAGGTTCTCCTTTTTCTCAACTATGTAGGAATAACATATGTCTTCCAGTGGCACCCCACTCAACATGAGCGAGGTTTACATGCCTCCATTTCTTATACAAATGTCCCATGTCCTCGCTTCCCCCCTTCCCCCATCCGCAGACCTCTGCCACACGCTATCCCACTATGCAGCTGCTCTGCTACATCCTCATCATCTCCACTAGCTGGCCACAGACTGAGTTCACAAGAGCCTCCAATAAAAACTTATTCACTGAAATAAATGAAACTGAGCCGACTGTGAGGAGTCTCCAGGAAAGTGGTTGGTGATTCAGTGACCCCACACAAGGCCACAATCCCCAAGTGAAAAGATAGGGCTCCATGACTAAAAGCGAGGGTTGGCAGAGGCAGGCATTTAGCCTAGTGACAAAGACACTGGTTAGGACACCAGCATTTCATGTCAAAGAACTTGGGTTCAAACTCCCTGCTAATGGCCTGGGCAAGTCAGCAAAAGATGACCCAGTCACTCGGCCCCTGCTATCTATGTGGTAGAGTTGCAAGAGGTTCCTGACGCCTGGCTCTTTGGGAAGTAGCTAGTGCATGAAAGACCTCTCTCTCTCTCTCCTCTTCCCTCTGTTTGTAACTCCATAAATCTTTTTTTTTAAAGATTTATTTATTTTTATTACAAAGTCAGATATACAGAGAGGAGGAGAGACAGAGAGGAAGATCTTGCATCCACTGATTCACTCCCCTAGTGGCCACAATAGCCAGAGCTGAGTCAATCTGAAGCCAGGAACCAGAAGCCTCTTCTAGGTCTCCCACATGGGTGCAGGGTCCCAAGGCCTTTGTTCATCCTTGACTGCTTTCCCAGGCCACAGGCAGGAAGCTAGAAGGGAAGCGGGGTGACTGGGACACAAATCAGTGTCCATATGAGATCCCGGTTGCAATACTAGGACTTTAGCCACTAAGCTACTGCACCAAGCCCTGTAACTCCATAAATCTTAAAAAATAAAATAAACAAATAAAAATTTTAAATAAATTAAAAAGTACTTGGATGCAATTGATTCCTGCTGCTAGCTCCTAACTCTAGCATCCTTTGGGAAGCAGTGATGGCTCAAATGATGGCTCATGTGGGAAACCTGTATTGAATTCCAACTTGACACTTCACTGTTCCAATCACTGTAGACATCTGGGGAGTGTTCCAATAAATGGGAATTCTCTGTCTCTCTCTCTCGTTCTCTGTTTCAAATTTAAAAATAACAGGGAGCAGTGCCATGGGGGAGCACCTTATGCTTCCAATTGCAGCACCAGTATTTAAAATGGACTCTGGTTCGAGTCCCAGTTGCTCTACTTCCGATCCAGCTCTCTACAAATGATCTGGAAAGGCAGCAGAGGATGGCCCAAGTTCTATGGTTCCTGTATACTCACATAGGAGACCCAGAACAAGCTCCTGGTTCCCAGCTTCCAACCAGCCCAGCTCTGGCCATTCCAGGCATCTGGGGAGTGAATCAGCAGATGAAAGATCATGCTCTTGAAACTGAGAAAGATCTCTTTCTCTTTGTCTGCCTCTCCTATCCTCTAATACTGCCTTTAAAATTTAAAAACATGGAAAAATATTTTTGAAAGATTTATTCATTTGTATTGGAGAGGCAGATTTATAGAGAGAAGGAGAGATAGAGAGAGGTCTTTCACCTGCTGGTTCACTCCCCAAATGACTGCAACGGCCAGTGTTGAGCTGATCTGAAGCCAGGAGCCAGGAACCTTTTCTGAGGTCTCCTATGTAGGTGCAGGTCCCAACGACAGGGCCATTCTCTGCTGTTTTCCCAGACCATAATCAGAGAGCTGGATTGGAAGTGGAGCACTTATGACATGAATCAGTGCCCATATAGGACGCGGGCACCACAAGGTGGAGAATCAGCCTGTGCAGCCAGGGCACCAGTCCCCAAATAATTTTTTTTTAATTTAAAATACCTGCATACCATGCAATGTCTCCCACCCTTAAACTTCCAATCTACCTCTCTCTTAAACAAACAAATAAATTAGCAAGCACATATAGTAGAGGGCATCAATGGACACATGAGAACTCCCAGCAGCCACCAGCCTGACTCCAACACAACTCCTGGAAGTACCTCTCCTGAGCAAGGCTGCACAGCACAGCCTCCAGGTACTCTACCCCAGGAAAGTCTGAACTTTCCCTCTATTCAGATGTCACATTTACCTAACAAAAAAGGAGCTGGCACAAGCCACAGTGGTGTGGAAGTGTGACTCATTCAACATGAACACTCCACCTCTACCGGTATGGGCCGCTTCAGACAACCTAGTGCAGTCAAACATAAAATAATAAAAACTGAAACTCAGAAATCCAAGTCCAAGTGGTAACACCTCTTAACCCCCGCCGTCTCCTCTCTGGCTAGCTGTACCTGTAAGGTGGCAATGACTGTAGTATCTACCTCGGAGTGCTGGTGCTGGGAAGACGCATCTGGAGCACTCCACATAGCTACCCACATAAAGAATAAATACTAGCTGCCATTACTGTTACCGTTTGCTTGACTGGGAGGTTCAAGCCAGATGGTATGCTGCCTGAAGCCCAGGTCTCCTGCCATCTAACCCGAGGCCGCACAGGGAAGTGGCAGGTGGGGAAGGAAAGAAATCACTAATCCAGACAACGTGCACAGCGTTCTGGGAAGTTTCCATCAGGATGCCCTGGGGCCCTGGCAGCTCTGGGGAGGGGCCGGAGGCCAAGGGAAGACGGCCAAGGCGAACAGGAACCTACCTGCTTTCACTGCACTCCTTCCTCTCCCTGACCCTCAGCCACTTGCGGAGGAGGAAGCGTTTGCGGCGTGGAGAAGCGCTGGGTGTGGAACAGTTGGACCACGGGGTGTCCTCGTCGCTGGAGGGCGTGATCTCGATGGACGGCAGCTGCAAGAACTCCTTGCCAGGGGCCAAAACGCTGGGTAGGTCTTGGGTCAGCCCGGCCTCCAGGCTCTGCTCCTGCACGTTCTTCATGCGGCGCATCTTGAAGCGCCGGCGACGAAGCGTAGGGGTCGACGAGCTGGACCAGACCGGGCTGCCTTCGGGCGCGCCTTGGGATTCGGGCACCTGCAGGGCGGGCAGCTGCAGGTTCTCCATCATGTTGGCTGCCGGCATGGGGACCCGGCACCTCCGCGTGCCCTGGGCCAGCTGCCGCACTCTCTCGCTCTCCGGCTCGCGGCTCTCCACCCCTTGGCCCGCGGTGGCACTCGGTCCCCGCTCACCGCAGCAATCGCTCGCGGCTGGAGCGGCGAGAAGAACAAGTTCTTTTTTTCTGGAGCGCCGTGCGAGGAAGGGACGTGAGTGGACGCGGCGCACGGCCGATAGGAGTCTAACTTTTCGGAGCGCCCTTCCTCCCGGCTGTCCGTGGCCAAAGCGAGGCGACCCAGGAACAGCAGAGGCAGCCGCCTGCCAGCCAGCACACGGCCGCCCTCCTGGGGCTCCCCTTGCGCGCCCGTTTGTTTTTCTTCCGCTGCGCTAGCTTGCGTCTTTGCCTGAGCGGGACTCGGCAGCCCCGGGGCCCAGGGGACGGCGAAACAAACTCTCAGTGGTTTGCGTTCAGCAGATCAGGTCGGGGAGCCGGCTTGGCGCTGCAGGCGGGCAGAGAGGAGGAGGAAGAGGCAGTGGTAGGAAAGAGAGAGAGAGAGAGAGGAAGCGAGACACAGGATAAAAACCAAACAGGAGGAAAAGCAGGGGGTGCCTATCCCGAAAGGGCACGCACGGGCAGCGACAGCGGTGTAACTGTACGCGGAGTCCCTGGGGAGGGGCTCAGCCTCCAGCCGAGCTGCTCCAATCAGCCCAGGGACAGAGCAGCACACACCAAACTTTCTCAAAGCAGCGATTGGTCGTCTGCTCTCATTAGCCCAATTCTCTGCCTTATTTTTTTTTCCCCTGGGAGCGGGGCGGGGAGAGGGGTAGGGGTAGCCAGCCGGGTAAAGGAAGGGAAGAGAAGCAATGAATTCGAACCCGCCAGGATACAACAGTGAGGAAGGGGGGGGGGGGCAGGGGTTGCGGCGCACTAGCTTTTCCCGAGAAAGAGGCTCTCTTTGGATGATGTGGGGGTGAAGGAGACCTGGGTACACTCAAATGGAGAGGCTAGGTGTCTGGAGGCTGCTTCCAAAATGACAAGCTGAGATGAGAGGACAGCTGTGTGGCATGACCTGAAGACACCAGACACGACACACCAAGGAGAGATACACGATGGGTGCTGAGAGACACAGGACACAAAGGACCAGGAAGGAAGAGGGTCTGGCAGGCCCCTGGCCAATACCTTAGTTGCTCCCAAGCAAGGAAGGATAGGAGAAGCAGATGAGCACCTGCAAAACAGTGCCTCCAGTTGGGCACCCAGGGAGCTGAAGAGATCCCTTTCTGATCCTGGGAAAGATTTTAACTCTGCTTCATCCTGCTAGGAGCATGGACTGGGTCACACAGTCAAGTCAGTCCCCAGGTTACAGATCCTAGACAGTCTGGGTCACGCCTGATAGAGTTGTAGGATGTGCTGAGCCACTGGCTCTCTAGCTCGAGGTCCTGGCCCTGCATTAGAAAGCAGCCCTGGATCTACTGCACCCTGCTGTGTGCTCTGCTGGCCCTGGGGCCAGGTCTAAGCAGCATGATTTCCACAGCAGTGTTGGCCTGCACACTGCCTTTCCCCAGCTTAGAGCATCTATCCCTTCACTAAGCCACGACCAAGGACAGAGAGAGGAGCGCCCCCGTGAATACACCATGAAGTCCTCAGTCTGAGCCCCTGGCTCTTCTCTATCCCTCTCCGGGCATCTAGTTTGCATTTGAGAGCTGATGCCAAACCTCCATGCCAGAATGAAGGTTCACATTTCATGAGTCCCAAGAGATGGGGGGAAAAGATCACATCTCCCCCAAACCATAAGAATTCACGTTGAGAAAAATATACCCTTGCACTTCAGCAAGACAACAATGTTGACAACCTGGCACCACTGTGCCCTGCAATGACGCATGTGGAAGAGCTTGAGGCATCCTGAGATTGCCTAACCTCCGAGAGGCCCGAGGCCGAGGGAGAGCTTGTGTCAGAAGAGCCAGGGCCAGGCCCGCTCATCAGTGACTCTCCGGAACACTGACCCCAATCTGTGGCTCCTCGCATCCGGCACTGGTTCTCTTTGGAGTGATTTGGTATCAGTCTATTTTAACTCACGGAAGGATGTGGCACTGAAGGGAGAATCCCTCCCCACTAGGTGTGAAGACTGGGGTGGAGGGGAAGGGCACCCCTTCCGGCTCCAGCTCTTGGATGCCAACAGGGAGGGGGGCGGTCACTCCAAACTCCAAAAGTGGGGAGCAAAGTCAAGGTTCCCTGGGCACTGATCTCTGCCTTGGATCCCCTTCAAGGATGAGCACTTTGCTGTGGCATCTGAGAACTTCAGAGTACAAGGAACCCAGCTGTCCAGTGGGGGAGGGGTGCTGTTGGAGTAAGAGACTGGGGTCTTGGGTTTTTCCATAAAGAAAGGAAGCTGGGAGGGCAACAAAATGAAATGTCCATAGTTAGGGTCCAGAGCCTTAAAAATAAGTAATATGGAGAAAGCATCAACAGGGCAGCCCACTTTATCCTGAACATCCTAAAGTTAAAGGTATGCTTCTCAAAAAGGAGAAAACCTATTACCCTCCAGATCCACACTTCAGCCGCTTTTCCACTGGCAATAGATTCAGGAACTGAAATCCCAGGAGATGCAATGCAACCCTGAGGCAGGACAGGGCAGGGCAGGGGATGTGAGTGCCTGCCTACTGCTTCACCACCTGGTCTGAAGACCAATCCCCTCCTAGCTAAATCTGAAATGGCTTCACGTGGTTCAAAAGCACATAGCCAGAGCACCTTGCGTCTTCATACTGTCCTCCCTCACAGCCACCTGGACTGCCTTCTTTCCTGCACGCTTTATTTTTTCAACCATTAAAACCCTGCTCAAAAGCCCCCTCCTACAGCTTCTGGGTCCCCATAGTACCGTAAGTACCCAAATAATGAGGCTCTGCTTTAAGGCTGTAACACCAGACAGCTGTGAGTCTGACTGCTCTTAACAGCACTAGCTTGCTGAGTGAAGAACCAAGTTCCTCCTCCCTCTGATCCCTCCCGTATCCTGTACTTCTCATTTATTTATGGTCCTTTGCTGTAAGTATGCCCTTTACACATTTTAAAAGGGCTTTCCACAGGTGGAGCACAGGTTATTACGCTCATGCTACAATTGATGAAAGCATAACCGAGAGATATGCTCATTTATCTAAGGTCGTAGATAAAATGGTGACTAACAGATGGCAAGGTCAGACCTTGAAGCCCAGCCTTCTGCAACCGGGTTCAAGACTACTCAAGTCTCTCCAAATGTGTCCACTCTGGAAAGCAGGACCCACTGTAGCTCGAGAATGTTACCAGCCCTGGTTTGTGTTGGAGCCATCCTGAAATTACAAGGAAATATTTAACTCCACCTGCTGTTTCACAGGCAGGGAAATGGAAGCACCATGTGTAGAAACAGTTTCCTAAAGCAGCTGGCGTTGGGCTGTCAGGCCCCGAGATTCCACAAGCCCCTTTAGAAACACCGAGTCAAGGCATCCATTTCCCAAATCTGCCCCTTCCCCACTTTCCTCTCTCCCATGCCAGGATCTCAGTGACTCCACTTCTCTCAGGAAAACTGACTTCACCCCTCCACATCCCTTCTTTCCCCTCCCCCTACAAACAGGTGGTGGCAAGAATCCCCTGCCCCTTCCCCCAGCCCACTGCAGCCAGGCCTCTAACTTTAAATGAAAGGAGCTCCGATTACCAAGCAACTGTTGTTCGCTGTTGCCCGGGCAGGATCTCCTTTCCTACAGACCCAAGACACCCAACACCTTTCTATTGCTTCTGGAGCCCCAGAAACTGCCCGTTCCATTATTCAGCCACAACTTCCAGGAGGGAACACCAGGGGGAAAGGACAGCTTCGCAGTTAAATTTCTCCTGGGTGCACACCCATGAGCGCAAGGTGGGAGACGCAGGCATCTACAGACCCACCAATTCTCACCCTTCTCTGCCCCAGGATATCAAGGGCAGGCAACTCTTGAGAACACAGGACTCTTGCACTGTTGCTGCCAGAGACAACCCACACCTTCAAGGCTGAAACATGGAGTCCCTCTCCCTGCACAAAGTACTCAGGAAGGCCAACCCCAATGAGCCATGTACGTGGCCCAACAAAACGAAACAAAAACCCCACACTGGACACATGTGAAGTGGAGCATGTGGAGCTCAGGAAAGCTGGGAATGAGGAAGGGAGCGTGGAAGGTGCTGTGAGAGCAGTGGCTCACTAGGACCCTCCAACTCTTCCTGTCACCAGCACGGTGTGGAGGGTTCAGGGCACCTGGTATACTTTTACCTAGGGTAAGGGTGGGTAGGGACAGGAGTCCAAGGGTGGCTTTCTCCTGGATCTTTAAAGGTAACTGGAGCTTAGTCAGAGGCAGCAGCAGGAAAGGGATGATCTCTTAAAGGCCCAGTCCTCACTTACCACTATGACTCTATCTTTCAAATAAAAAGGATTTTGCTTCTGCCTCAAAGTCCATTTACATTAAGTCATTATTGGCTGTAGGCATTTTTTAATCACTGAATGCTCAACATCAATCAATGCTCAACACCAATCAGAGAATACAAATCAGCAAGAAATACAAAGACCAAAGAGTCAACCAGGGGTGGGGACCTGAAGACTAGCAAAAGAATCAGAACTTACTGTCTCCCACGATACCTGCTTTGGTTTCTTTCAGTAATCCTCTCTTCACTTCCCCCAGGCAGGAAGAGCTAGCTACTTCAGGATCAGAGGACACTGCACAGAATCTGTGTGGTTAGAGGAAAACAGGTGGAGCAAGACCCATGCTGGCTGAACACAATCAACATATAACCACAGCTGACCAGCCAGCACGCCCAGTGTCTCCTTCTGACCAACAGGAGGAAAACGCTTGGAGACTGATGGCGAGTCAGTTCCCAAGAACGGAGTGCTGGGCAAGTGCTCTCAGCCCTGGGGAATGCACAAGGTCGGCAGAGACTTGCTCCTGCTAGCCTGTGCAGGGGCCAGGGTGAGCCATGACGTCACCCAGCAGAAGGGCTGTCGCCAGATAAGCCTGCCTGATTTCATCGCTCTCAAAAGGCTTAGGAGTCAATGAATGTTTCTACAACATTTGGTTGCCCCTGTTCTTGACACGCAGATACCAAAGCACGGACCAAAGACATCCTCTCCTGCCCTCTGCACGTCACAAGGACGGTATTTATGCAAACCAGGCTTGGCAGACTTCTTGAGGTCACCCATTTAGATCTCCATCCCAAGGAAGGCAGGTGCGTGCTCTGAGTATTGAGCAGCTGTTCTCAGAAACATCATGAACCCCCAGTGACCTTCAAAAAGTGATTCAGTCACGGGCCACAGTCACACTGTCTGAACTCCAGACCCTTTCCGACTACTTTCTATTGGTTTGATTTCAGATAAGTCATTTGACTTCTCTAAGAAGACCAGGAATAACCAGCATCTCCCTCCCAGGGTAACTGTGAGCATTAGCATTGGGCACAGAAAACTGACTTGGCACAAAGTAAGTATAAACAGTAAACTTTGTTAGATCTAATTACATTTCCTTTCTAGCGCCTTTGTCAAGAGATGGGCCCTTTCATGTGGATTTTCAGTTGAAACTTGATTCTACC